CCTTTGTTAGTTGATTGTAAGCAGTCCGAACAGACGAGACAAGGTCGCCGTTTGACCTCTCAGTGTCGGGAAATCGTCAGCAATGTCCTAACTTTCTTTAAACAGCAAGGTACAGTTGGTTTAATGTTTCCTGTTCGGGCTTTTAGGCAGCGAGTAACAGCAACTAGCGAGAGTTAAACAGATTGAGAAAGTAACTGACGTCTGTATGTTGTGAAGTTAGCAAACCAAACGAGATAGCATATGACTGTAGAAACAATTAAATTAAAACATGAAATTATTGTTTTTTCGGAAGTGTTGTTTTCCGGGAAAAGTTCTGTAACGAATCCATGTATGAATGCTTCGCACGAACGCAACATTAATAACATTCTCTGCTCCCCTATTTAATGAAGTTAACTCGACCTGTACGTTGTGCCATTTGACCTCCCTGGTCATGCATATGTAGAGTAGCTCAGGTCAAGCTGGACAAGCTTTTGTTTGTTGTATAACGCCGCGTTCAGCAATCTTCCAGCTATATGGCACCCGTCTTTACATAATCGTGTACGGACAATCCAGTGATCAACTGGGATACGATGACATGTGGCAAGTCAGCGAGAATGACCACCCGATCAAGCTAGTCTCCTTTTACAACATGCATGGGTTGCTGAAAACCAATTCTATTCTGGATCTTCACGGGTTTGATTGTCAATGGTGAGGTCAGTCTAATACAGTAAAGATTACGTCAGAACTCAGGCTAAAAGTCCTGAATACGATCACAGACAAACATAATGGTGTGAAGAAGTGTGACAGAGAGACTAGGGGGAGATAACTGACGAATTGGTTTATGATTATCTCTTCATAACTGTGATTACTGACACTGACTATCGATAAGTCATTGTATAACGGCAAGGGTTTCCACTGAATTTCAAGTTGCACGCGTGGAGACGTGGTTGATGTTAATACATCCCGGTTTTCACTATAAACAGAGCATCGGATGTAAAGAATCAGATGTCTGACATAGCAAACGGGATTGATTTTCCTAAATATTTCTTCTGTCGTGTATTTCTATATATGCACACATATAAAAGTATATAACGACTGTTTTCAGATATGAGTATATGAGTGTATGACGTCAAGGACGATGATTTCTAGTACTTCTGTCTTTGAACCGTTCCTTTGGCACCCGTTTCTCACTATTCAATTTCCCAGAATGTGTTCGTATGTGATGAAAATCCCATGTATATACAGTGAGACCTCGGATACCCGAACTCCAGATATCCGGAAACCTCGCCTTCCGGACAATTTTTAGAAAAAAACAATCTCTTATAAAAGTGACTGTCTATAACGGATATTCGGTTTCCGTTTCCGGACGGTATATTTTACAAACCAACCGGCTAAATCAACACAAAATTGACTCACGTATCCGCACTAAGCTTTGATCTACCGCTGACCGTGTGAAGGGAAGCGCGAGAGTCCCACGTGTTTTGACACGTGACATGCAGGTTTTGTCTCATGTGCGTGCGTGCGTGCGTGCGCGTGTCTGTCTGTGCGAGTGTTGCTGAGGGTGGGTGTTATAGAGTGAGCGAAAGTAAGAGCATATGATTGTTTCCCTGTCCACACTGACAGAATGTGTTCTTTCACACCATCAATGTATCAGGCAGTATTGCCAGCTGGATCTAGGTATAATGTATATATGTACTTATTATTTGTATTTACTAATTCAATTCACACAGTTTTTGTATTCAGCTGTTGGAGGCAAATACATTTTGAACACCCACAGTACATTTACTTGATAAAACCGGAGTCCAAGCAATATTATCTGGACATCTCCTGTTGGTCAGCCTCTGCGAAATGCACAACAGACACTGTCCCTCCAGTCGCATATTGATCCTGTAGAATCAGTCCCAGAAAATTTCGATCGTGGAAAGAATGTACCGTTACACTGAATACCAATTGTCATTGTCAAGGTCCACTGATCATAGGATAGATTAATGTTATGATCACTAGAAATGACCTATGATGCTGTAACATTTCTGTGTACTCTCTACCATTCAATGAGTTTCACTGTCACACCTCAATTTTTTAACTGCATCCTTAATTTGGCTGAAGTCTTTGATTTAGTGAGCGAAGCATTGGGAAAGAACCCTATCAAACAAGTTTCAATAACAGGAGCATTCAATGCCTAACGCTCGTCGGACGGCCACACAACGCACGTGATCTAGACTACCAATTGTCTGACTTCCACTTTTGAGAAAGCCGCGATGGTTTAAATCGCTGACCTTGTGTGCTGATAAATTTAATTAGACTCGAGCGTGGGTTCGAATCCCTGATGCATCCCCTCATCCCCACAAAGTACAAGCATCTGAACTTTACAAATAAAGTGTAATCCATATGTTACTTTCAGTTTTATCAGTTGATGGACTTAAGTTGCTATACAAGAGAAACCTTACTCTTTCAAAATGGCACTGGACTATTTTTGAGTGAGTGAGGTTATTTAAAGCCAGCTTTGAATAACATTTTATGGGGCGTCATCTTGATATGGGACAAAGGACCAAGGTGATCAATACTGTGGAGGAACATTGAGCGTGGGCATGTTGTTGTCAACCTAGAAACATATTTGGGGATAATCTATGATTCGAACGATTATTGGTTTGCATGGTTGATTATTTAAGACCAAAACGCACAGACAACTATTTTTACGATCAAATTAAGCATCATGTCTGAAGTATAAAGATGGCGGGGAAGCCTTGTGGTTAAAGCGTTCGCTCGTCACGCTGAAGACCCGGGTTCGATTCCCCACATGGGTACAATGTATGAAGCCCATTTCTGGTGTCCCCCCGCCGTGTTATTTACTGGAATTGGTGGAACCATACTCACTTCCGAAGTCTAAATAGTCCAGCTACATGTATGTACAACACTTCACAACCAGCATGGGCTCATGAGATGTGACTCGGGAGATATTCCTGTCTATTTATGACCAGCAAAAGCTATTAATCGTTGGCAATCCTTTGTTCAGATCATAAATCGCAACGGGACGGCCAATAATTGCTCCATGATGATAAAATATATTTATGATAATCGTTAAACCCAGAATATGTTTATAATAATTGCTTATAGGGCAGCAATAGCTCTGCGATCAGGGCAAGTAGTGAACAATAACTTGTTGCTGTGTCTACTCACGTCCAATTAGCGATACGTTTCCCAGGCTCTTTTATGAATCTGGGATTCTTGTATAAATCAGGGACGTTGATTGGTCACTGAGTCCGCAATTGCATAAAGAGAGATGGTTGTCGTTCGTCTGGCTACGGATACTCTGGTCATACTCATTTCGTTCATTCTAATGTCTATTTTCGGGTTTTATAAACTGGAGTTCCCGAGAACTCCAAGCCACTAATTATGAGACAGAAAACAATGGGAACATATTTTTGCGCATGTCCACTGCTGCATGCTGGGTGGATTTAGTTGCGGATATCGTGTTTTCCTAACACATAAACCTGATGTTGCCCTGTAGATAGATTCCCTAAATCTGCCAATCCAAGCCCGCGAACCTGGTAGGTTTTATTTGCGCTTTATGTTCTCCAAAGTATAAGCAGATCAATATTAATTCATTGATAGCTTTTATATAATGCATACGCTTCATTTTGCCAAAATGGAGGGCTGTCTCAAAAGTACAAACATCTCATAAATGATTTCAGTGCGCCTAGTATTTTGCATAACGGTATTATATTCACTGATTATTACTCAATGATGACTGGATTGCCTGGTCCAGATTTAGAGACCAGGGCCACCGCCATATAGCTGGAATATTGCTGCGTGCGGCGTGACACAACCAACAAACCAACAAACTAACTAACCAGATAAACGGCATGGAGAAGTTTAGGGATCATGACATTTTGACCACCTCAACCGTCAACAATAACATTGAACATAAAGACAGTATGACATCATTTCGGAAAAGAGACAATGGAGCCGTATATCACCAGCCCAACATAGTAAATTTTGTTCACTTTGTGTTTTTGAAAACAGAGTAATAATCTACACCGATCTACGCAATAAACAGAACATATTATTGATCCGTCGTATTAACAATATAACCACCTACAATGAGAGGTCCTGATTGATATTTGGACGAGATGACACACGTAAAAAACTCATTGCTAACCTCAATGCTATCTATCATAAAGTGAATACGACCCACACGTTTGGTGTTTGATACTCTTCGCAAAATAGAAAATGGCGTTCTCAACCTCTGTGGATCTATGTTGCCATATATTAAAGTACTCTCTTCAAAAGAAGAAACGCATTGGCCAAATCTGCCCACCTGTCGAACGCAGTTCGGCGTTTAAACGTTCGTGTTGACGTCGACAGAGACGTTGTTTCCCATCCCGTCGTTGCAGGAGGAAACTCGATTCATCGCTGAACCAAACGCGTCGCCAGTTCCCCAGGTTCCATGAGTGTACTCTGTTGCACCATTGGACAGAACAGGTCCAACTTTTTGGTCGATATGCTCGAATTCCTACTTCCCTTAGACGATTTGAGATGGCCTGGTCGGAAATTCCTCATAGACCAGGTACCTGTCCTGCAGTGTCCGTTGCTGTAGCAACTGGGTGACGTAGGTGAAACACGAGGTTGAATCGGCCCTCAGCAGGAGTGGTCACTCTTGGTCTTTCACTTCTGGGACGATGTTGGGTCGAATTGAAGCGGGTATATCGATGCCAATAATGGTTGTCATCCCCCTCCCCACACCCTCTCTACAATAAAAAAATTGAAGGCGGTGACAACCATTATTGGCATGAGTATATATTGTACATAAAGTACGTACATGTAGTTATGTTATCCCTTTTCTTCTCTCGCTCTTAACTAGATTTGTATTTATTGCACGAATGTATTTCATATTTCACAAGACCGACAATGTCACCTTTGATATGCATTCATTTAATATCTGAAAAACCAAAGGAAGAAGAAGCTTGAAATCGTATCAAGGAGGGACCCAAACCTGTGTAGCGTATCTGGTCATGAGCAGCATGAACAGTGACCTGTGTGACGTATGTGACCCTCATAAAGCATGTGACACGTGTGACCTGCCTAAACTGAGTGGCCTGTGTGATGTATGTGACCTATCGAAACTGAGTGGCCTGTGTGATGTGTGTGACCTGCCGAAACCGAGTGGTCTGTGTGATGTGTGTGACCTGCCGAAGCTGAGTGGCCTGTGTGATGTATGTGACCTGCCTAAACTGAGTGGTCTGTGTGATGTGTGTGACCTGCCGAAGCTGAGTGGCCTGTGTGATGTATGTGACCTGCCTAAACCGAGTGGCCTGTGTGATGTATGTGACCTGCCTAAACCGAGTGGTCTGTGTAATATATGTGACCTGCCGAAGCTGAGAGACCTGTGTGATGTATGTGACCTGCCGAAACCGATTTGCTTGTGTGATGTTGGTGACCTGCCGAAACCGAGTTGATCTGTGTGACCTACACGCACTATGTGTCCCGTGGAAGTACGTTACCTGTACGACTTGTGTATCTTATGAAAGTGTGTGACCTCGAAAATCTCCTTATCCCGTGCAATTTAACCCGTACAAACTCTATATCCTGTGAAGGTGTGACCTGCACAATTTTTTTATCCTATGAAATTGTGTGACCTATACTAACTCTATATCCTGTGCAAGTTAATGATTTATACAAACTCTATATCCTGTGCAAGTGTGTGACCTATACAAACTCTATATCCTGTGCAACTCTGTATCCTGTGCAAGTGTGTTACCTGTACAAATTCTATATCCTGTGTAAGTGAATGACCTGTACAAACTCTATGTCCTATGAAAGTATATGACCTGTACAAACTCTATATCCTGTGAAAGTATGTGACCTATACAAACTGTTTTTCCTAATGAATTGTGTGACTCGCACAAACTGTGTACCCAGAGTAAATGTGTGATCTTTACAAACTGTTTATCCTGTGTAATTGTGTGACTTACACAAACTATAACATCTCCGTCCTGTAGATGGCCAGTAGGTCTCATGCGACGACTGTAAGATTCATTAGCATCAACCAAAGAGCTATGACAACAAATCGCAGGCTGTTTCGACAACAAGAATTAGCCCGTCTTTTTTTCGAAAGTGATAGCCTTCACGAAAAAAGTAATATGTCACTACTAATTGGCAAAGAATATCCCCTTGACCCTCCACATCACGGAAGAGACATAAAATAACTACATCCTTGATTTCTGTTTTTACTTAGACCAATCAAAAAACACATCAAGGCTCACGGTTTCAGTTGTATTACCATCTCTGCACTCGTCTTGTCTTCATCCGATAGGTATTATACAGATGGCGAAATAAGCCGAGTAGGCCCAGCTGGCTATCTCCTTTATCTGTGGTGGTTCACGATGTTGAATTAAGTATGCTTTAACGCTAAACATTGCACATTTCATTCAATGTTTTATGTTTACGTCCCCATAATTTGCAGCATATAGTGACAGTATTGTATCCGTTGTCGCAAAATGAAAATAGAAATTCGTTCTTTTTTCCTTATATCAATTTTCAATGCACATGTTATTTTATGATAAAAGGTTTTGAAGTGGAAGGCCTGTGAGTTGACACGAGACTGTGCTCCTGTTTGGTGACAATTGCACCTGTGTGATGACAAAGGGCATTTACAAATGTGTAATGATAAATTTGCTGTTTAACACCGCATTCAGCAATACTCTAGCTATGTGGAGGCGGTGTGTAATTAATCGAATCTTGACCAGACAATCCAGTGATCATCAACATGAGCATCGATCTACGCAATTAACACGTGTCAACCAAATCAGCGACCTTGACCACCCGATCCCGTTAGTCGCCTCTTACGACAAGCATGGGTTGCTGGAGATTAGCCCAGATCTTCACGTGTGTGATGACAAGGGACATTTCTCTCGTAAGATGGCACAGGACTGTTACACTTCTGTGACAACAAAAAACACTTCCACCTGTGTGATAACATGAGAAACTTCCACCTGTGTGACGACAAAGGACACTTCCACCTGTGTGATAACAGAGGACACTTCCACCTGCGTGATAACAGAGGACACTTCCACCTTTGTGATAAGAGAGGACACTTCCACCTGTGTGATAACAGAGGACACTTCCACCTGTGTGATAACAGAGGACACTTCCACCTGTTTCATAACAGAGGACACTTCCACCTGTGTGATAACAAAGGACACTTCCACCTGTGTGATAACAGAGGACACTTCCACCTGTGTGACGACAAAGGACACTTCCACCTGTGTGATAACAGAAGACACTTCCACCTGTGTGACGACAAAGGACACTTCCACCTGTGTGATAACATGAGAAACGTCCACCTGTGTGACGACAAAGGACACTTCCACCTGTGTGATAACAGAAGACACTTCCACCTGTGTGACGACAAAGGACACTTCCACCTGTGTGATACCATGAGAAACTTCCACCTGTGTGACGACAAAGGACACTTCCACCTGTGTGATAACAGAAGACACTTCCACCTGTGTGATGACAGACACCTGTGTGGCGACAAAGGACATTTCCACCTGTGTGATAACAGAGGACACTTCCACCTGTCTGACGACAAAGGACACTTCCACCTGTGTGATAACAGAGGACACTTCCACCTGTTTGATAACAAAGGACACTTCCACCTGTGTGACGACAAAGGACACTTCCTACTGTGTGATAACAGAGGACATTTCAACCTGTTTGATGACACATGGCCCATACCTCTTCCAGGTGACTCAGAGCTGCTACACTTGTTTTATGGCAAGGGACAATTGCTCCTGTGAGATGACATAGGTCAGGTACATCATAGGTAATCTTGCGCTTGTAACAGTCTGGGGATATAACGAACAATGTCTTCCCATTCTGCCTACAGTCCATTCTGCCTACACGCTAAAACAACATGATAAGGTCCAGTGATCAGGAATTTAATTCATATGCTGACATATTCTTCCCTTATTAAAATGAACTTGACCAAAAGTTAATTGTAGGCAATACGGGAAGAAATGCATCTTTATTCTCTCTGAAAGCATTTCTTTCATTGAAATTGACAAAATATCACGGAATATAATACATAATTACTGGAATTGACACAATGTCATGGAATATAATACATGTATACAAAATATGGAGATTTTGTTTGTCAATTTGACAAGTCTTAATTGATCAGTCTGTCAAAATAGTAATTTTTGTAGGCAAACTGGAATGTTTGCAACTTTGGATTGCAGGCAGAATGGGACGTAAGGATACCGGCCAGACATGGGTTTCACACATTAAACTATACACACTGTGTGGTAAGGGACCATTCATACTTTATGGCTAGGGGGGGTGATGATGATTTTAAGGGGGGTCGCCCATTTTGTTCTGGGGAGGTAGGGGGTCATCAATTTTGTACACATGTTTCTAGGGGGTCAGCAATTTTGTACATAAAAATATTTTAAAATTATGCTTAAAAAATATTGGAAGGGGAAGGGGGGGTCATTGATTTTGTACATGACATGCAAGGGGGTACCACTTACTTTGTACATAAATTTTACTGGGGGGTCATTCACATTGTACATGCTTCTCCATAAAAATCATCATCAACCCCCCTGGCCATAAATTATGAACGATCCCTAAATACTCCTGCTATAGCTTGCTTCAGTGAGTGAGTGAGTTTAGGTTTACGCCACCTTAAACAATATTCCAGCAATATCACGGCGGGGGACACCAGAAATGGGCTTCACACATTGTACTCATGTGGGGCATCGCACCCGGGTCGTCGGTGTGACGAGCGAATGCATTAACCACTAGATACCCCACCACCCCACCTTGTTTCAAGCATGATGTGACGTGGTATTGCGCATTTTATCGTTTACGAAAGCACATCGTATACACAATGTATTCCATCTTCACTCAAGATCTGACAAAAAGCACACTACAATATGTACTTTGATAACGAGCAACAGCTGATAATTTGAAAGACAAAAGACATTTTAACAAGGATTTTACTTACACATGATTAAGTCAGTACTTCAGTATAAGTGAAATTATCATTTTTCATTTTGTTTGTCAAGACAGACTTATGATCCCCCTTTCTAAAGTACGTGCCTCAGACAGAACATATTGACACGTCTTTCTAATCTACCCTCAAGCTGTTTAAGCGTTCCTGAAAGGTTGCCATGGTCTACTTTGATTATACTTTCAAATGGTGGATCTATACACGAGCGTGGTAACTCTGTAAGTTTCTTGTCAGACAGACTAATTTACTTGAATGACATTTTGTGAAATATAGTGTTGGGTGTTGATGAAATATAGATATTGTACGTTTCTGGTAGCCTTCAAAGGATATTGCTGCCCTAGACTGGTTGATAACAGATAGTAAGAAAGTGATTATTGAATTAATATACCCATGTTGCTCTTGGTTATGTCTTTGATGCTGTTACTGAGGGAAACGTGGGAAGACAATGTTGTATAGTAATGTAAAACATGTTTCGTCGTCACGAGAAAAATCCACTCACTCACTCACTCACTCACTCAACCACTCACTCACTCACTCACTCACTCACTCACTCACTCACTCACTCACTCAACCACTCACGCTATCGAAGAAGCAGATAAAGACTGACTGACTGAATTTGGTTTTACGCCGCTTTTAGCAATATTCCAGCAACATCATGGCGGGGATCACCAGAAATGGGCTTCACACATTGTACCCATGTGGGGATTCGAACCCGGGTCTTCGGCGTGAGGAGCCAACGCTTTAACCACTAGACTACCCCACCGCCCCAGCAGATAAGAACATAAGAAGCATGCTAACATTGTACTATGGAGTTGTTGTTTTTTTTATCATGCCAGAATACAATTCTGAAAATACTGATATATTTACCTGAATTTGACGACTTCGGTAATGACCAGAATATCATATTCGTGCCTATATCATACTATGTTTTCGACTTCATACCAGAATACAATTCGTGTAGAATTGTATATTGTAACATGGAGTTACATGTAAACACCTCGCTCTCGGTTGGGAAATACCAACATTTAGGTACTCGTGTCGTAAACATAGCATAATATGGGTTTATTTCCGGTCGTCAAATTGAGGAAAATAGACCCAAATCTACTTTCAAACATAGGCTGGCTATCCGCCGTCGCCGCATATAGAACGCAATGTCACAGTAGAAACGTGACGTCATAGCATAGGGCTTCGTTTGAAAAACATGAACCCCGATATTTTCGCCCTCGTAGGTAATAAAGCAACATGTTCGCTCACGCTACATGATCATTCCTATAAAGCGCTATAAGAATGTCCCCGCCAACACCCACACCATGTTCGCACACCACCCATACCATGTTCCAACACCACCCATACCATCTTCGCAGACCACCCATACCATGTTCGCAGACCACCCATACCATGTTCCCATCAACACCCACACCATGTTCGCACACCACCCATACC